GAGGAGCAAATTCACAGCCCACCATGGGCCAGCAAACACTCTGTCTGCCCTGCATGTCAAGACACAGCTATGCCACGAGTACGTAAGTTCCCTCTCAAAAGAAGGTGGAGAGTGGAGAGCTCACAGGGGCTGGAAGTCACCCTCACACACGCTGTGGGCATCACTACCAATGGCTGCTGTCACCCAAAGGTGGCAGATCTGCCACACCTTGCCCAGGAGGGTTCAGAAGGGGCAATCTATTCCCATTAAGCAGGTTATCTCCCTTCAACACAGTGAATTACCCATTGCAAACTCAGACCTACAAATATTTAGACAGAGCAGCTGGAGGTGAAGGCTTGCTGCATTAAAGCTATGTCAGACTGTCCCTCCATGTCCACAGAAGCAGAGTTTGTAAATGCATCCGTGGGCATGCGTACAGGTAGGCACAGCCTTTCACTAGCATGAGTGGACAGACACACGTAACAGATGACAGCCTTGGTGCCACCTCCACCTCTGTTCCTGAGACACAGACCTCTGGACTATGGAGCAGCTCCCCAGTGGCAGGGGATGCTGGGCAGTGATGGGCACTGGTATACTGGCCCAGCGAAGGGAACCTTCCCCTCCAGTCTTCCTCTGGCCCAACACAACGTCTGGGGCTGCATGCTCCTGGGATCTCATACCCGCAAGAAGGAGTCCAGTGAGCCATTCTCCATGAACTCAGTAATGATCATGACCGGTGAACTCTTGGTCACCACCCCCTCCAGGTGGATGACGTTGGGGTGATCGAACTGCCCCATGATGCTGGCTTCGCTCAAGAAGTCCCGTCTCTGCTTCTCCGTGTAACCAGACTTCAGGGTTTTGATGGCCACAAAGATCTCTCTTTTGCCAGGAAGCTTGAGATGCCCACTGCACACCTCACCAAACTCCCCTGTGAACAGAGGGAAGCAGGTAGGGCTTGTCAGCCTCCCAGACCTCTGCCTTTCCTCCCGAGGGACCCCGCTCCCACGGGCTCCAGCCGTGCCCACCCTGCACGCCCCTGAGCCAACCACCCACCATCTGCTCTGTGCTTCCTCCCTCACTCCACACCAAAGACCTCTCTTCAGGTGGACTCGTCCTTGGGGAGGAGCACTGGACACTATACGCGCATGGGAATTCCTTGTCTCCAGCACTGGATGTACTTGGCTCCTCCAGCACTGGACCACCTTGCTCCTGCCAGTCCAGTAAGACCTTACTGACACAAGTCCTCCCAGTACCTGTAAGGCTAAATCCTCACCAAAGCCTGAAACCACAAAGGAGACTGTGCTGCTGAGGGCCAGCCAGACATTCACAATTCACCTACCTGCCCCGATCACCTGCTCGATTTTGACACAAGAGATATCAATTTCTTTTGCAAATTCCCTGACAGCCTCGTTGGGATCTTCGTAGGTGAACGGATCGATATAAATCTTCATCCCTGGAGTCACTGCATAAAGGTGAGGGAGAGAGTCAGACAGACAGATGCAAATGGAACGACTGATGGCTGGCATCGAGGAAAAGAGAAACCTATTTGTGTGAGGGTCTTTTTGACCTCAGCAAGTCACATAATCAAGGGCATGAAGCAGACACAGCAAAGCGGTCTAAGAAAGAACATGCAGAGCCATGTGTGCACAGGACTATTAAAGCTGGATTATAATGAATATTGGCCCATAAGTCATTGTTGGGGCAGCGGAGGGCTACATCGTTAGCTAGGACTGCAAACTGACCACAGAGAACCACACATCCTCTGCGGCAGGATTCGGCTTCAGCAGATCCAGAGGAAAAGCAAGAAAAGCATTTGCGCTCGGGAGATGGTGCATAGGCACACCAATGTCATACCAGGCTCATCATGCTGCAACACTGCAAGAGGACCATTTGTAGATACTACAGCTCTGCCCCGCGGGCCTCCTCTGCATGCTGCTTCCACCTCAGCACACCATCCCACAGAGGCATGGGAAAGCGGAGGAGGAGACCTGGGCTCAGCACACAAGAGAGCAGATGGTGAAGGTCTGCCTCGGGATGTAAACTGAGGCACACGCTGCTCTTGGTTCTCCACGTGGAGATCCATAGGGGAGGCAGTTCTAGGTGCTTGGTACTACTGACACAGCCACCAAGCCAGATTGACTCCTCCATGGGGGTGTTTGTGACCCTTCCAGGGGCAGTGCAAGCAGGTCGGACAGTCCAGTCAGCCCCCTGAGGCTGGGTAGTCTCAACATGGCCAAGACAAGCTGTAGGGGAAATTGCAAAAGCCGAGCTCTTCCTGCTAGGCAGACCAGAAGACACAGCGATACGCTTATGTGAAAGGCAATGGCCATGGGACCTGGTGAGGCTGGACTGCTGGTGCCACATCGCACGCTACCTGCACCGTGGGACAGCTCTAACCTGCAGTCCTGCAGTTCTCCTCTTTCCATACTCGTTTTGCTGGCCTCTGGCTTGCTCCAAAACTGGGGGTGTTTGGAGAGCAGAGCTCACAGCTCACTAAATAAGGAGCCCAACACGACTCCCAGCTCCACATGTAGGATGCTGATAGGATTCAGGGGAGTCACTGCAATGCTCACAGGCTCCCCGCGCCTTGGCAATTCGCTAACCATAAGCTGTAGCCTCTCCACAGCAACCACCGCCGGGGAGTCGAGCAGGGGCTGTGCCTTGGGCTGGTGTCTTGAGTGACAATGTGGCTAAAAGGCACCCCGGGCCCGTTATCAGTTCATCTGCATCCAGTGGCATCGAGCCTGTTCCAACAATCGCAAAGGCACAGCTATTAATGCCATCCCAGCCTGAAGCTGTCACGTTACGTACCAGACCCCGGGAGAAAGTGTGAATATATGTTTACACATGCAGCACGGCCTGACAAACCACCGAGAGTTGCATTTACATAATCTTTCTTGAAGAGTGTCATTTTTCCTGGGAAATTATAGCAATGCAGCCATTGCTGCTCCGGCACAGAGCTGCAGTTCAGTGCCCTGCCTTTTGGGAAATGTTTCCCAGGTAAACGCAGAAGCAATAGTGCTGAAACACTAACTGATGTTTTCCATTTTCTGAACAAGGCCCAGGTCTGTACAGGAACGAGGCATAAAAAGGACAGAAATCCTGAAGCTGCAAGTATAACATGAGGTAAATAACAACGGAGATTCGAACAAAGCAGGATTATAGCGACAGGTCTCTAGTGAGGGAGGGGAAAGGCGTTGCAGAGGGCACGCAGCCAGGGGTTAATGAGGGGAAGGGGGATGCTCTGGGGTGAGGCAGGGTGCGCAGCGAGGTCTGGAGCATGGGAGGGAGTGCCTTGCAGTACGCAAGAGGGAGACTGCAAGAGAGGGCATGTTATGTATTGTATTATATATAGGTATCTCTGAGATCTATTAGGATTCTGGGAGCACTGGGATGGGCTCTAGCAAAGGCACCACGAGGTATGTGGGTTCCTGCAGAAGGACAGCACGCTGCAGGACGTGGGTAGGTTGGGAAAGGGGTCTCACTGCTGCCCACAAGCTGGGCAAAGCTCAGGAATCGGGGTAGGAAGACAAGGTGTGGTGGCAGGGGCTGCACCGCAGAAAAGGGTGAGGCTTCAGGGGCATGTGGAGGGTGCTTGGTATTTGGAAAGCAAAGCTCACAGCTCCTTAAATAAGGAGCCCAACACAGAACCAGAGGCACGACTCCCAGCTCCACAAGTAGGATGCTGCAGGGGTTTGGATGCGTTGGATGTCGCAGGGGTTTGTAGAGCATGCACGGGTGTTCACTGCACGGTTGGCACCTGAGAGCACGCAGGTCTGGAGAGCGCGGACTCTACGAGGCAGGGCAGGGATCTAGGTCTTAGGAGACCGGTGGGGGATCTAGACAGCACGGAGGTCCTCCTGTCTACACATGCACATGCCTGCCCTGCTAGGTGACCTGAGCCCTCCCCGCACGCCGCAAGGAATGAGTGAACAGGAACACAAACCGAAGAGAGAGCGGACCCCCAGGCCTGGCGGGGGGCCGCGGTACGTACTGTGGCCACTGGTGTAGTGCTGAAAAAAGGCCGCGGTACGTACTGTGGCCACTGGTATAGTGCTGCAGCTTGTCGGTGTACTCAGAGTCAGCACGCTCAAAGCCCCGTCTTCTGGAAAGAAAGGAAGTCCTGAGCACCGGCACGGGTCCATCGGGGCCGAGAGACGCACTGCAGGGGCATCTCTTTCCCCCTGCCACCCTCCGCCTCCAGCCGCCACCCCCTCGCACAGCCCCAGCCCCGGGTCGTGCGCTCAGACTGACCTACCTGTTGCACACAATAATGATGACGACTACAGCGATGAGGAACACCAGTCCTGCCGCGGAGGAGCCGATGATGAGCGGCAGCTTCTCCTGGACACTGGTCTGGTACTCGGCTGGCACGCAAGGAAGAGGGAACGGGTTACTGCAGCACAGGATGGGTCTACACTAACAAGTTCATCGAGGTCAGAGCATGGCCCTGAGCACTGCCCACATTTGCACGGCTGTTGCTAATGGGCTTCCTGGCATGGTTTTGGTCCGGGACAGCTAGAGCTGTCCCAGGCACGGCTCAGGTTGGCTATGACAGGGGATGTGCCCCAGTAGGAAGGTTGGATGGACCTATCCACCTATCCCTTTTGGGTGGGAAAGTTTAGTCTCACGGATGCATGCATGCTGTGCCTTGCCCCTTGGCCTCAGGGACAGAAAACTGGCTTGGCCTGTTTTATTTAGCGGCACAAATTTAGAAAATAGAGGCCCCGGTCTGCATTTGTCATCAACAGCTGTGCACATGAAAATCATGAATTTCGTTTCCTCTAAATCCAACTGAGTGAACACGTCCCCATGCCAGACAAGCTTGGCATAAATTGGCCTAGATTATGTGCTTCCCTGCATGGACCACCAAGTGCCCATGCCTCTCTCCAGGTCTTGCCAGGTTGAATAAATGCATGTGACTTGCCAATGCACCCTTGAAGGGACTAACAGCAAGGGGACCCGCACTGCTGCCAGTGCATCTCCATCTTGTTAAGCCTCTCTAGACCCTGTGTCACCTTTACGCAAAGGCAGCTGAAGACTCACCTTCAGTCATGGTCTGGAAATACATCTTGCCACTATACCGGCCATACCCGGCCACAGTACGCGCCCGCACCTGGAAGACGTAGATGGTACCAGCTTTGAGGTTTTGCACTGCCACGGTGTTGGTGGGGCTCTTCACTGTTGTCGAATTTAACTCGCTCAGATCCTGCCAAGAAAATACAAATCTGTCATCAGAAAAATGAGTCTAGAATCAGGCGCTGTATTTCTAGAAGGAGGAAGCGCAGGAGACCAGGGTAGCGCAGGTGGAGAGATCACCATGGGGAGACCATGCGCCTGAACAAACAGGTCATTCCTCTGAGCGTGCTTCCCGGCAGGGAGACAGAGAAGCAGGAATAAAGATATCCCTGGGCTACTCACCACCTCTTAGGAGAGGCTCTGATGAAGGTGTTAGCTAGAAACCTCAGGTCGCTTCTCCAAGCCTTGAGCTCAATGGGGATGGGAACTGCTTGCCTCTTCCCTGCCCACTTTCTCTCAGCACTGTCCTTCTTCCTCACCCCCTCCTCCTCTGCCTGATCCAGCCTCAGCACCCCCTCCATTTGCTCTTCCCCATCTCCCTTTGCCTGTGCTGGAGGTAAAGCCCACCTGAACACAGGGTTTTGGACCTCAGAAGAAGTACTGCTACCATCCCCCTGCCCAGGGCCTGCTTCACCAGGGACCACGGCTAGGTTTTCAAAGCTGGGGAACTGAAGAGCATATTTAAAAGTGACAATGAGACCACTTCCAAATTTCTGTCCCACCCCTTGTGTGCAGTTTTTCTAGCTGAGGACTTGAGCAGTCAGATCATAACGGTATAGATGGCATTGCACTTGTGTAGGTGATGGATCCATCACTGCCCTTAGTAATTATGCCCTTAGCTGAGCATCCAGCAGCACTAGTGGATGGACCAGGATCCTCTTGTGCTAGCCACTGTACAAGAGAACAGACAGTCCCTGTCCTCCCCAGGGATATGGAGAAACAGGTCAACAGAGGAGGATGAAGGATGGTACTGAATGTGGTGCTTCCTATGATCAGGGCAAGGTGGCCAGGGGCCTGGCAGCCATGAAGTCCTGAAAGCCAGTGCAAAGCAGCAATATATGCAAACAGCACAATGTTTCTGGAAAACAGAAGAATCTTAGGAAAGCCAAGCTGTGAGTATAAGCCCCCATAAAAGGAGACAGGCACCCATTTCTGAATCAAACTTCTGCAGCTACGTTGAAAGTGCTCATCTTTCTGGTAACACCTCCGATCTGGCAGGTCAGGCTGCCTTGGCAGGATCACCGGTTGGAACAGATCCGCAGCTGACAGCTCAAAATCTGAGCTGGCAAGTTTACAAGCGAGTCCCTGAGATCTGTTAACTTCAAGTCACTGCAAAGGGCTCAGCAAACCCAAGAACTCCCACCCCCCACAGACTCACCAGAGAGGTGAGATAACCTCAAGAGAAGTAGGCAGGGACTGGCAGAAAGAAGAAGTCAGACACATAGTTTGTGCAATCCCATCAAGTGGGACTGCGGGTGTGATCAAGGGACTGGGCTTTTGTCTCAGCTGTGAAACTCCACAGCATGGAGGGATTGCTTCTTGTACCGTGCTACCATGAGATCAGAGTGAAACTCCCAGCGAGGGGCAAAGCGTCCACTCCTCCTTGCCAACTTCTTCTGAAGGACAGAGGGTATCAAAGAGGCAATCAGGCAGAAGGTCCCATCTTGTGATGAACCAAGGTTTCCTCACACAAAGGTGCAAGTTGCCCAGGCTGTTGCTCTCTGGTGCTGCTTTGGCTGCCTGCAGGCACCAGTGAAGCAGAAGTCAATGGAGAGTCTTGCACCCAACTTTGCACACCCTTTGCCTAGAGAGGGCTGTCCCTCAGCCTCCTCAGCTGCTGGACCACAGGATGAGTCAGAGGTTGTCTTGCCCACCAATAAATGATGGAGTTTGCCTTTGGGGGCTGCTGGTCTCCTTTCTTTTCCACTTTCCACATTGCTAGCCATCTGGTGACTTTGCTTTCATGTTCATTCACTTCTGAGAACAGCCCTGGTGCCTTCACTCAGAGGATCTTCTGCACAGCCAGAAGCTGTGGAACCAGCAAGATTAGAGGCCCACAAAGAACAGTCATTCGCTATGGGGCTCCATACAGCAGACCACGTTGAACCAATGTTCTCCTCACGTTCCTGGGAGAGCCTGGGAGAGCTTTCTCAATTAGCCATTGTGCTGGAGCAGAATTGCAAGTACGCTGGCAGTTGCAAGATGGATTATACTCATGACCCGGGTTTGTGCAGACTATTTGCCTCACAGCTGCAAAGCAGCTGAAAGACAACATTCATGGAGTTAATTTCTTCTTGCATTAAGCTTTTGATTGAGCAGCACTCTGGTGTGGACGGCTGTTAAGAGAGTGGTCTGGCAGGAATGTGTTTCTTCAAGTGTGCAGTCAAACTTGGAGGCTTGGAAATGACGATGGCACATCATTCCGTAGGGTAATGCAGAGCAGCTCTGCAAATGCCTGGGAGACCTCCACTATTAACAGTGTTCAGGAACAGTTTTCTCTTCTAAAAACTACATCATCGGTTTTATCCACCTGGACCTGGTGCTGAAAGTGCCTGGGTATCACTGGGGTGTTTGGGAATTAGACTAATGACAATGAAAAGCTCTAGTATACACAGATAAGAAAGATCAAGAAAAGATGAGCACACAGAAAACTGATTGCCTTGATTGTCTGATCAGGCCTCAGCACTTCCCTTGGACCTTTCCCAGGCAGGCTAGGAGAGAAATAGGTCAGGAAATGTTTATGGTCTTTGTGCTCAAAGGCTTGGATGAATCCTCCCAGGCCCTTGGATGGCACTAACAACACAGTTGTTTTAAAATCATTTGTCCAACTGTCGGAGGGAACCTCATCCCTGCTCCTGGAGGACTTTAAATTGAATGCAATGGGCATGCTTACAAGATGGTTTATAGCCTGGGAAATGGATGTCTATCTATCTCAGAAAGGTGTGCTCATACCGGTGCTCTCCTTTAATCCCAGACCACAAGGAAAGAGCGTTTACACCTCTCCACCCTCCCTTATCAGACCTAGTCTTTCTCCTTGCCATATTGCTCAGCCATCGCCTTTCCAGCAATTCACTTCAAACACTTCTCCCCTTTCACCCCTCTGGGCTTCTCCAGCAGGTCCAGGGCATCCCAGGTAGTTTAAAGTCCAAATCCCTTTGCTGTGTCTCCCAGCTTGTTTTTTGCAGAGGTTTGGTGGTTGGTTTGTTTTTTCCTCTGCTGATTTTGGTTTGAGTTTGGAAATCCTAATTCAAAATAACATACTACTTATTTCCTCATAGGTTTGATTTTGAGTCCTCATCTGGTTCCCCTTCCCCTGAGGCAAATTTAAGCTGAAACCAAGGTCTGATCAACAAAGAAACCAAAGTTTCATCAACAAAGAAACCAAACTCTGATCAACAAAGAAAGAGTTTCTTACAACACGGATAGTCTGCGAAACCCTCGAAGGATTTGCAAAAATTGTTTCTAAAAAGTCATGGTTAATCAGCCAAAAAAAAAAAAAAAAAAGCCAATGAAAAACGTCAACCGACTTAATTTGGCAGACAGCTCCTCCGCGCGTCTGCACAGCGGCAATCTGCTGGGGTTCCTGAAGCAAACAGGGCCACACGTACGAAGCTAGTCCGAGGCTGTGAGCCAAATCACCACACACATCTGAATTTCGGCCCCCACGGGACGTTAGGAGGGATGCCCAGATGTGGTCCTGCCGGCCACGCTGGGGGTGAATCCGTGGGGTCCACAGCTCCCGGACTCTCACGGGGACCACCACTTGTGGGGAGATCTCAAGAGCATTTCTCCTCCCAGCCAGGTATCTGATAAAGCATGTTGTAGTAAGAGTGTCTGGATGCCTCTCACAAGAAAACTGAGCCCCAGACAGAACCAGTGTGGACCCTGGGCAGGGACTGGGACTGCAGGAAAGCTATCGCAGGGCTCCTCGGCAAGGTTTCCTCTTAATCTTCTTGATCTCACAGTTTTCCCCCGACAGAGCCCCCTCCAAGGGTGTGGGCAGCACAGGGGGAAGGGACATCCCAGCTCTCGCTCCATCCTGGGGACTGGTGGGAAACACTAGGCAGCAGCATTGGGCCCAGACTCGAGCATGCTGGTGTCCAACACTGCAGGCTGGAGACCAGGAAAGTCCTCTGAGCCAGCCTGGGAGCCTGCCGTCCAGTAGGACCCCTGGTGACATCCAGTTCTGGGGATGCTGGGCTCCTGCCAGAAGCTCCCGGGCACCACGAAGGCTACAGCCAGCTCTACTCCCATCTCCACCTCCACCATCAGCTGCCACAGGTCGCTTCAAACCCACCCTTCAGCCCCCCAGCCAACCCATGCCCTTTCCCTGACATTGGTTGGAGACATCAAAGGGCTCCCATGCCTCCTAAAACATTTGCATTGGTGACCAAACTGGGTATGAGGGATGGGCTGAACGTCTTCAATTACAAAACGGGTAACTTACGGCATACCCTAAGCCCAATCATTTTGCATAACAAGGAGAGCTAATTATTCTTTGTAGTGCTTGATGCTGCAGTGGGTCTCCAGTTCCCACACTCTGGGATGAATTTGGCAACTTTGGACAAAAACTACTACGCCCTTTCTAAATGAAGAAAACACTCACTTTTTTAATAAGGCAAACATTGCCAGGTGACTCTTGGAGGTAAAAAAAACCCCAACACATTAAGGAGAGGACCGTAGAGAACAGACACGTCATTCAGTGTTTGCGTAACAATCTGCACTGATTTGCTCTAGCTACAGGTGAAAGAAAATCATCATGTTGCCTCTGTACAGGCATTTTTAATAGCATCTAATAATAGCAATGTTATAAGTAATCTGTGAAAAAAAATATATCTTTGTTTCAGGTATTGTAAACAGCTTTGTTCTGTTAACGCTAAAACACTTATTCTGACTTTTAAAATTTAATTTATGTCTTTATATAGAAAAGAATCAATTCAAAATGAAGAGCCAAAACACTTTTTATACAAGATACATATGCTGCTATTCTTACATTTGAACTGTTTTCATGCTAATAAAATATAATTTTCTACTGGGGAAAAAAAATTCCACTAGAAACAACTTAACTAGCTCCAGAGATATTTTCTGAGTGTTCAGAAGCACATGGGACAGTTTGCAATGAAACATTCTGGAAGAAAATCACCTCTGTACAGACTGGCAGTCGAGCAAGAACACACCTGGGATATGTCACACACCCCATCCAAATCGCAGCACTGATGGGAAGCAGGGGAAGAGCACGGCATATCCAAAGCTGTGCGTTCTGGGACTGTTCCCAGGGATAAGTAACTGGTTTTCAATTGCAAAACTCAGCACTGCAAGGGCTAGACTAACGTGAGATTCAGCTCTGCCAAGCAGGCAGAGAAGGATATGGTGTCATTGCACTGTTGAAAATGCAGAGGGCTCTTGACTGACCAGCCAAAGCTTATGAAGACCTTGGCTTGACTACTGATGGATCAGACCTTGAGTGTGCAACTGGGACTTCAAAGTAAAAGCTAACACACACGCAGGAGTTTGGGGAGAGACAAATCCACTGCCATTGGCCAGGCCCTGCCTCTAGCTCTTGGTTATTCCACTTCTTTTTTAACCTGTTTCCAAATCCTCCAGTCCTTGCTGTGGGACTAAACTTTGACCCAATGATCCCTTTCTGAGAATGACATACATCTTGGTTGGGGAGGAGACAAAGACATGCCTTTCTGCTTCAACCAAAGCACCAACAAAAAAAATGTAAGAGGTTCAAGTGACTTTGCCCCTCTGCTCTGCTCCGGTGAGACCCCCCTGCAGTGCTGTGTCCAGCTCTGGGGTCCTCAGCACAGGACAGACATGGACCTGTTGGAGCGGGTCCAGAGGAGGCCACGAAAATGATCACGGGAATGGAACACCTCTCCTATGAAGAAAGGCTGAGAGAGTTGGGGTGGTTCAGCCTGGAGAAGAGAAGGCTTCGGGGAGACCTTATTGCGGCCTTTCAGTACTTAAAGGGGGCTTCTAAGAAAGATGGGGACAGACTTTTTAGCAGGGCCTGTTGCGATAGGACAAGGGGGAATGGTTTTAAATTAAAGGAGGGTAGATTCAGACTAGATATAAGGAAGAAATTTTTTATGCTGAAGGTGGTGAGACACTGGCACAGGTTGCCCAGAGAGGTGGTAGATGCCCCATCCCTGGGAACATTCCAGGTCAGGTTGGTCAGGGCTCTGAGCAACCTGATCTAGTTGAAGATGTCCCTGCCCATGGCAGGGGAGTTGGACTAGATGACCTTTAAAGGTCCCTTCCAACCCAAACCATTCCATGATTCTGAGAATGACATACATCTTGGTTGAGGAGGAGATAAAGACTTACCTTTCTTCTTCAACCAAAGCACCAGCAAAAAAATATACCAAGAGTTTCAAATACCAGGACAGAGAGTGCCTCAGCACCAGCACGTGGGGCTGCTTGCGTTGTCCTCTCTGCCAGGTCTAGTGCTCCACCTGAGAGCCTGCTGCCATGAAAAGCATTGCCTGAGCGTGGCTTGGGCCACTTGTCCCCATCATCAGGGACACACTGTGCCCTAAGCTCTGACAATGGGGCAAGCAGATGCTCACCTTGGGGTTGGCTGCAAAGACCGGCCACGAACAGCAGCTTCCCCTTTAGACAAAAATTCCCTTTATTTACAGCCTCCCCCAAAAACAGAGGGGAGGGGGAAGAAAGAAAGAGGGGAAGAAATTAAGAGAAAGTAAGAGGAGGAGAATGAACTCCCTGAGATCTTCTGTCTCTACTTCAAGGGTCCCCGGGGAAAGGACCCCTCTTGCTTTCCAGATCTGTCTTGTTACCTACTCATCCATCTTGCCACGTATTCTGGGATCATTTCCAAGGGTCAAATAAATGGCTGTGATTTATGCAATATAGGTCAGGACCTATTTAACAGCTTACAAAGAAGCTCCCCCCCTCCCTGTTCTCCCTCTGGCTCTTGGTGATGAGAAAATAGGTCACAGGCAGGCAGTGGGGGGGATTAATCATTTCTTCCGGCAACTGCTGGGAAAAATATTTTCAGTTCCATTTAATCATAAAGCTTTTTAATTAGTTAGTTTGCGATTTTTAATGTATAGTTTATAAGCTCTTGTGTAAGGGGGCAGATTCCTGGAAGGAGAAATCTCCGGCTCCCCACCTCCCCCGTGTAGCACAGATGAAGTTCACCAGCCAGGCAGAGCCTGGCAGCTCCTGGGACCAACACCAACATGGTCTTCAGGTCTCTCAGCACCCACACAACTCCAGCCCCATGGGATGGACACCCCGGCACACCCCTGGCTTGCAGTCCCTCTGCTTGCCTGGGCAGGGGGGAGGTGGAAGGAGCATGTTCCTCAGAGATGAAAGAGCCAGAGCTGCAGGACCCCTTCACATCAGCCTCCCCCTGCTCCATATGTCCCTCCCCAGGGGAGTATGGGACAGCTTCTCCCTGGTACAAGACCTGGTTCGGGGTGCTGCCAAACTCACCTTTGGTGTAAATGCACTGATGGACAGCATTACACAAAATCTCAAGGACTGGACACTCAACTAGGGTAGTCCAGCCTGGGACTAGATGCTCTGTGACATCTCTACCATCCCCATTCCCCCCTAATGCCCCAGTAGGGGAAAAGGAAAAATTAGACCCTGGACCCTGGCTACCCAGCTCTCCCTGCAATGGGTCCACCTGCCACAAGTGCTGGAGAGGCGAAGGGAGGAGAAGCTCCTCCTGAAAGACCAGCAGATTTTCCACACTTGCGGTGTCTATGGAAGGTCACTGGAACCACCTCTGGGCTCCAAAGGGTTGACAGCCACTGCCACCCACGTGGCCAGCCACAGCAAGAGAAGTAACCTATTGATCAACCAACTGCTGTAGCCAGTGTTACGCCCTTACGCGAAACTTTGCACCACCTCCTCTCCCAAAAACCTGCGGCTGAACCCTGCCAAGGTCCCGCGGTACCTTCTCATAATATTGCAGCTCATAATCCAGGATGACTCCGTTGGGTTGGTCAGGCTGAGACCATGAGAGGGTAATGCTATCCACGGTGCGGCTGACTTGGTGCATGATGGACACAGCTGAAGGAGCTGGAAGAGAGAGGGAGAGAGACGCCTCAGTCAGATGCTTGCACGGGCAGGACCCGCATCCCCTGGCTGGAGGCAGGCAGGTGTTTTATTGCTATTTGGAGCTACTGAATTTGCTTCCAGCAGTGGCAGGGCTGTCCAGGGGTCAGGAGATCCTGGCTTTTGCTGTTTGTAGAAAGCAGCTAGGGGAGAACAAAGTCTTTCCACTGCTCACTAGGAGTTTGTAATTAGAAAACACGTAGGGCAGTGTCTCAGGCAGGAAAACAGATCATTCTCAAGCAAAACCAGCCCAGGGTTGGAGCAAACACAGCCTTGTTCCCCTGGAAAAAGCACTACCAGCCCAGCAACGTGCAATCCTCCCTGCTTGCCATGGGGAAATAGGGGGTTTTGTACTTTGATATTTGCATAGAGAAGCTTTCTAAGGCACGGGCAGACGCAGGAAGCAAGCAGCTCCTCTCCGCCTTGGTGTGCTGGGTCTGCAAGTTGCACATGCCAATCAAGGGAGGTGCGTACAGCAGCCTGAGCATGCAACGCAAACCTGACCTGACATGCTGACAATGGTGAGTCGCCCGCCTCGTCAGAGCGCCCTGGAAATAGCACACCCACAGACGCCACTTGTCCCACTGAGCACAATGGGACCTTCCAGCAGCTTCTCAGACAACCCAGCCAGCTGTCCACCCCTTGCACTGCCCTGCGTCGCCTACGTGGCTTGACACGTGGCCAGGTAGGACCGGAGCAGTCTCGGCTGGTGCCACGCCGTGGGAAAACTGTCCTCCAGGGATCTGTGCTAACAAGTCCATGGGGCAGGGACCGTGGCACGGAGCTGCCACCTCCCTGGGAAACTCTGACCGGCTCTGATCCTGCTTGCTGTGGACCGGGGTCGGTAAGCAAGCAGCCTGCTTTTAAGCCGGTTGGCTCAGGTATTGATAGCAGAGATACCACAGCATCGCAGGTATCAGCCTACAGCTCCCCACCCTTGCTGGAGGGGCCGATGCCCGCGCTGCCTCCTCTTCGCTGCGTCTTGAGACCGGTGAGCCGAGCACGTGTCCTTGCCCACCCTGCTGCCAGCACTGCCAACACAGTCTCCACGGACGTCAGTCCGGAGGCCATCTCAGACCTCACCCAGCGCCAGCCCAGCCTTGGAGAGTGCTAACTCCAGCACAGCATTAGCCCTGGCACGTCTGCCAGCGCAGACTCCCTGCTTCAGCAGCTTCAGGGCAGGGGGGAAGCCTCAGGGGTGGGAGAGGACTGGAAAGCGGTAGCGAGAAAGCTTCTCCATCACTTGCATGCCAGGCCTGGTTACAAATGGATGCAGAGAGGCTTGCACTCAGAAGGGCTTTTACCAGGTCCGGCCCTTTCAATATTTCATGGAAGAACAACTCATTTGACAGCTCTGAGAAACAGCTTGGAGGAGCGGCACACAAAGCAAAGCACCTCTCACCCATCTCCAGTCTGGTTTCCCTTGGCATCACGAGCAGCGACAGAAACCGTGCCAGCTGGGGATTGCAGACACAGCAGGGGTAGGACTGCGCTACTCGGACCAGCCTGGCTGCAGCGTGTTCTTGCACATCACTGTAATGAATTACAGCTGAGCAACTCCTCTCAAAGTATACCAACAAAAGCCATTTTTCTGATCCAACGTCTTTGCCTCTTCACTTCACTACTGGTTTTCTGGATTCAGAGCACTGTAGCTCCCAGGATGTTCAACGTCTGTGTGCCAAGGGGAGTAGAGGCCGGGTATGGGTAAAACAAAATCTGCCACCACACTGCTGCACCATTTCCCTTCCTCCCCCTGGGCTTCCCCACCCTTGAAGGAAGGTGCAATGCAGGTTAGCCTCAGCAAAGCATTGGCGATCTTTGGTTTTGTCCAGCACTTACTAAAATTGAACAAGGGCAGAGAACTTCTACCATTGGAAGTGTTCAAGGTCAGGTTGGACGGGGCTTTGAGCAACCTGATTTAGTGAAAGATGTCCCTGTCCACGGCAGGGGGTTGGACTAGATGATCTTTAAAGGTCCCTTCTGACCCAAACCATTCTGTGATTCTAACAGATCCTGAGACCAAAGCCTCACCTCCTCCCAAACACCAGTCCCTTCCTCCATTTCTGGTTAAGCCAAGCCCCATTACGCACCAGCCTGAAAGTCTCTGTACCATCTCAGACCTTCCCTCGCTCTGTGGCATACAGCACTGCTTCCCTCCCACCCTAATGTCCCAGTCCCACCGCTTCAGGGCCCATATTTACAAACTCCTGGGATTTCTCATGCTGGCGTTAAGATAAAACGCAGGTAACATTGCTAGAGCCTGTCAGCTCTTGCCAGAGCTTGCTGTTTCCTCGTCGACACAGATTTCATAGGACATCTGCAATCTCCGAGACAAACATTTCTCTCTCTGTGGAGAAGGGCCTTGGAAGGAAGATGTGACCAAGCTACAGATGGCCCTGCAGCCCGGATTGGGACTGGACTGAGATGAGTACGCAGCCCGTGGTCTCTCTGGCACATCTGAGCTGCGCATGCTCTGGGAACCGATCCCACACTCATACAGGCTCTTCCAGGACAGTGGCTGCATAGACCCAGACCAAATCCCACCGCAAAACTGGGATGTGGCAACATCCCATGATTTAGACACAGGTTCAATGGCTGACCTTGCAGCTGGAGAAGCTCCTCAGCTCCAGGTCCCTCCAGGTAGGAGTGAGGTCCCTGGGATGCTCTTCTCCCACTTCCATGCGTGTGTGAATCATTTGTGACCAGCCATGGCCCAGGCAGCTGTGTACTTGGTGAACCTGCCCTCGTCTGGCTCAGAGAAAAGAACCAAATGGATGAGGTGGGGCTCATCTAATGAGACTTAATGAGGCAAATATGCTGCTTGTTGGGGAGGAGGCAGGTGAGATGAATGACTACAGCAACTTCAGCGCTTTTCCAACACCTGGGGCAAAGGAGTGTCGCTGGATAGGCAGGAACCTCCACCACTGCATCTTTCAGTAACTGCTCTTGTTATCACAGACATCAGGGAAATGCACAATAATAAAATCACAGAAAGCTTTAGGTCAGAAGTGACCTCTGGAGGATTCTAGTCCAACTGGCTTGCAGGGTAATTTCAAAGTCAGATCACTTTGCTCAGGATCCCGTCCAGTTGAGATCTGAATATGTTGAGGGATGGGGATCCCACAGGCTCTCGGAGCACCAGTACCCACCTGCCTCGCCCTTGCGGGGAAGAAGCTTTCCCTTGCGTCCCATTGGAGCTTCCCTCATTGCACCTTGTGGCCATTACTACTGTCCTCTCACTGGGCACCTACGGGAAGAGTCTGGCTCTGTCTTCTTCTTTAACTCCCTTTTGAAGTGGAGGACTGTAGCTAGATGCCCCTCAGCCTCCTCCTCTCCAGGCTGGCCAAACCCAGCTCTCTCGGCTATCCTCATATCGCTTGTGCTCCAGCCCCTGGCCCATCCCAGACATTCTCCTGCCGGACCTGCTCGGGTTTGTTGACACCTCTGTAGTACTGGGGAGCCCCAAAGTGGACACCGTACCCCAGATGCGGCCTCACGAGTGCCAAGCAGATGGGAACAATCACTCTCCTCAATTTTTTGCCTGTGCTTTTGCTAGAGCACCTTGTACATATCCACATTATCCCTCTGCACTGCCATTTTCTACCTGGAAAATGAGGCTAGCCATCCTGTCTCGTTTTCACTCCCTGCCTGTCTTATCTAATTTTATTGAGCACTTTCAGAGGCAGACTGTGCTTACGAGCTTGGCACCCCAGCAGTATTTAATGCATGTAATATAATAGCTAAAAAGGAAGGAGATGAAAACAAAGTGAACACAAAGAGCATCCAATCTGGGATAGTGCTACCTGGTGATACTCTCATCACAAGGTGTGCTCCAGCTCTGACAGAAGCGTCCAGCACTTTGTGACCATCCTGAACTACGACGTAGAAAGAGCTTTTCTGCCACTTGACATGGTGAAGTGACCAACACAACAGAAAAGACTGTGAGAGGTATAGACTTTCTGACACGTGATGAACTCAGCTGAGCAAAGATGGTAAAAGTCTCAAAATATCTAAGCTGACTTTCCTGAACTGTTGTTTCTGAACAAACTCTACATAGGTACCCTCCATTGGGTTTCTGAGTATTTCAAAGCAAAGATTTAACAAACTGCAAAAAGGACCAAAATAAAAAAAAAAAAAGTCTTTGTTCTTCCAGCCTGCTTTGTGCCCAGCCCTTTCCAGGACTGGCCAGCGTACAGCTGGGCTGCTAATGCCAAAGATTTGCCGGCAGCATTTAACCTGGCCCTGTGGGATGGGTCACCTTGTTCCACGAACCGTGACTCCTCTTTGTTCCCTTGTGACAAAAGAAACAGCTTTAGGGATCATTTCCAGGTTGGAAAAATAGTCTTTTTTTCATCTCCAGGTTGGAAATGGTCACTAAATTGGTGACAATTGCTCAATGGCACAAATTGCCCAGTGCCAAAGACGCTCCCTCAGCCGTTGGCTCGCCTGGTTGTCCCTTACTCATGGAAGGTGTTTGAATGACTGTGCACGGAGAAAATGGATGCTGGAACAGGGACCTGCCCTGTGACACATAAAGGAGATCAGATTTGAAGCATCCCAGCTCTCAGAGCCACTATCACTTTGAGATGTCACCCCCATGAATGTGTAAGCGGCGGCGGGTTTACCCTGATGGTGTCTCCAGGTGCTTGTGTGCAGCAACGAGGCGAAAAATAAACGGAGCTTCATTTCCACAGCGGACAGAAACTTACTTCTCGTGACTGAAACCCTTGAGCCCCACATCACTTGGAGGCAAAATGAATCATTCGAGTCCTTGAAAGGCACTTTTCTACATCCTCTTTATCTGGGATGGCCTCAGATTCTTTGGATTCCTCTTAGTGGAGCCCTGTGGCTTCTCCAAATTGCTGGAGAAATAAACCATGCCAAAACCACCACTGGAGTGTAAAACAAGCTTAATGAAAATCCACTGATGTAAAAAGGCAGATGACCTGTCCCCTGCTGCAACAAAACCTGCAGCGCACGGGGAGGGGAGGCAGCCGACATCTCTCACGTGATGACACCTCCAGGGCAGAAGGACCAGGGGGATGCGAGGGATGCTTCCATGGCCATCACCCCAGGCCTCCACACCGCCACACCACGCTGATCACAGCCAGACCCTTGTCTAGGCCGGCGCCTGGGGCTTTCGCAGTTTACCTTAACCCACTGGGAGCTGAGGAGACTTCCCTGGCTCGGGGGCAGCTCTGCAGGGTAAATCTCTGCGTCAACAGCTCATCTTGTCTGGGCCCGAGTGAACCTCAGGAGGTTCAA